ATATATTATGTAAAGAATCAACAATGATAAGGCCGCTATGCTTAATTTGCTATTAGTATCCCTTTAAAAAGATTTATTATGGGTTGATGAGTAATATAAAAGCTATTAATTTTAGGTCACTTTTAATTTATTACATAGAATTATATTATTTTGTAACATAAAATTAAATTATAATGTTCCTGAATTTAGAATTGGTGTTATGTATTTGCATATATATGCCTTTAAGTCAGCAATAGCCAGATTTGCAGGATTATGATTTTCAGCATATAGGCAGTAAAAACTTCTGAATGATTTGCCACTGTATCAATTAATCAACATGATGAATGTAAGAACTTTATTTCCTATTGGTACTGACAGGAAAAAAAAATATTTTAATGTTATTATGAGAAAATAATAAAACACTTAATGAAGATTTATAATCACCAAGAAATTATGTACATTAACATGTAAATAGTTATAATCAAATATTACTAAGAAATCAAATCACCCAAAAAGTGAAATGTTTTCTTATTAAAACACACACACACACACACACACACACACACAGAAGCACACACACACACAAATGCCTATAATGTCCTAGGCGCTTTTGTAGACACTCAAATACAGAAGCAAACAAAAGACAGAAAATATCCTCTCCTGAAAGATGATGTCCGATTCTAGTAGGATACAAATTCTACACTAATAAAAGAAAAACATGCAAATTGGTGTCACTCCGCTATGCCCACCAGCCAATCAGGATGAGTATGCAAATTAACCCAACAACAATGGCAGTTAATTTGCATATGCAGGCGCGTAGTGAAGACTGAAGATGACTGAAGAATGAAGACAACTGAAGACTGAAGAGGCTTGGTTTCTCTGCTTTGGCCGGAGCGAAGGCCTGGGTCCCGGGTGCCAGAGAAAAACCAGTGCTGGCAGCCAGGGGAAGGAAGGCCTATTGCACAAGTCTCTTTGTGCAATGGGCCTCTAGTAAACACATAATTGATATAATAATTACATAGAGATAATTGCTATGAAGGACCCTTCAAAAATAGGTGGGAAAAGGGACACAGAGTATTTTTTTAATATAATGTGGGTAGGCCTGTAAGAGGACCTCACATATGAGAACTAATGAAATAAGAGAAAAAATGCTCATATCTGAGGGGAGTATAATAGAAAGGGGGCACGTGCTCTATTCAGGCCAATTAGATATTTTCTACTGTCACTGTTAGTACAGTATGTTTTGTATCTAAATGTTTTATAGAATCATGATTAAGAAGTAAAGGGAAAGTGTAATCATTATTTCTCTGCTTCTATTATTGAAACTCTCCAGTCCATTCCATACCCAGTAGTCAGAGTCATTTAATAAGCATGTGAATTAGCATAGTGGGACCTGAAGAGTATTATGCTAAGCAAAATAAGCCAGTCAGAGAAACACAGGTATCACAAGATTTCACCTGTATGTGGAATATAATGAACAAAATAAACTGATGAACAAAATAGATCCAGAGACATGGAGCATGGAACAAACAGAGGAATCTCAGAGGGAAGCGGGGAGGGAGGGCAGGAAGAGATTAACCAAGAAACTTAAATGCATAGTAGAGGCCCGGTGCACAAAATTTGTGCACGGGGGGAGGGGGGGGGGTTCAGCCCAGCCTGCACCCTCTCTAATCTGGCAGTCAGACATCCCTAGTTGGGATCGCTGGCTCCTAACCGCTCACCTGCCTGCCTGCCTGTTTGACTCTAACCACTCTGCATGCCTGCCTGATCGCCCCTAAGCACTCTGTCTGCGTGCCTGATTGCTCCTAACCACTCTCCCCTGCTGGCCTGATCACCCCTAACTGCTCTGCCTGCCTGCCTGCCTGATCGCCCCTAAGCACCTCTGCCTTGGCCCCCTGCCACCATGGCTTTGTTCAGAAGGACATCAGGGAGACGTCCAGTCTATCCAGTCTAATTAGCATATTACTCTTTTATTAGTATAGATATGCCTAACCCATGTACACAGACAATAGTGCAGGAAGGGGTTGTGGAGTGGAATGGAGGGTGCCAATAGGGGGAAAAGGAGGACATCTGGAATACTTTCAACAATAAAGATAAACTTAAAAGAAAGTAATAAGCACATGAATTAAAAAAACCTACAACTTTTATTTTTAATCTTACTCTCCTCTCAAGTTACTGTCCATTTCTTGTGTCCATCATAAAAAAATAAAACCTTACTTTAATAAATAGAATATAATCTCACCCAGCAATTTAATTTCTCATACTCTCTTTTAAATCCTCCTCAGACTTTGCCCCCATCCTTCTACCAACATTTTTTTTGACAATGTCCTCAATGACATTTGCTTTTCTAGCCCCAGTGGTTAACATCCCCTCTGTTACTTAGCCACAAATGACAGCTGACACTGTTGATCAGCCCTCTTCTTGAAACTATGTGGCTTTCTGAATATATCCTTGTGTTTCCCCCGTGACACTGGCTGCTCTTTTCAGTTTATTTTGCTTGATCTCTTTCTCCCCTGCACTCCTAAATATTGCAGTACCCCTGGGCTCAGTCCTTGGCCCTTCATTCTCTCTCCATTTATTCCTTTTTTATTTTATGCAGCATTACCGTTGTTTATCTAAAGACTCACGAGTTTATGTTTTCACGGCAGACTATCTCATACAGCCCACTGTGCATTCAGCTTATCCACTGGGTTGTCTAATTGGCAACTCAATCATAAATTCTGAAACAATGCTAAGTACTGTAGCTTGCAAGGAAAATAGATAGGTTGTGAAAAAAATACAAAACATGTTGATACTTCCAACTTTAAGATGCATTCACAATACCAGAGCAATGTGCTACATCAAGTAAGTTTACAAAATGTGTTCCTCAGTCACCTTGAGCTCGGTGTGTCATTTCTTATTTTAACACTGAGCAACAGGAGCAGCAGCAGAACAACAGCACAGTTGATGCAATTGCTAGTTGGATACCTAAAGTCCCAAAAAGAAATCTCAATAATTTGCAAGATGAAGGGCAATGTGAAATTTAGAATGAACACTGTTTCATAGCCAATAGGTAATGCTTCATATTTACGTAAGAAAATCTATAGAAACTAGCTTTTGATTTTTTTGGTTTTTAATTTAAGCTGGGACTTGTGTGCATGTAACAGTTGTTACCAAGGTAACTTTCTCTGCAGCTCTCTGGATTCAACAGGAAAGGTACCTGCATATTCTTTGTTGAAGTGACTTAACTTGCTCTTGCATTTTTATCACTTATTCACTAAAAAACATTTCCAGTTCTTTATCATTTTTTGCTTTCCAATCTCATTCCTATTTGTTTAGTGTTTTTTTATTCATGTGAACAATCTTATATTAGATTTACATACCTATTTTTCCTTTGAAAAGGAATCTAAAAGGTCCCAGTGATGTAGAATTCAAACATTAATAATTGAGATTTTAACACATTCTTGATGGATCCACATGATTAATATTGGTATATCAAAACAATACATCCTTATATTTCTTTTTTTTTTAATATATTTTATTGATTTTTTACAGAGAGGAAGGGAGAGAGATAGAGAGTTAGAAACATCGATGAGAGAGAAACATCGATCAGCTGCCTCCCGCACATCCCCTACTGGGAATATGCCCGCAACCCAGGTACATGCCCTTGAACGGAATCGAACCTGGGACCTTTCAGTCCGCAGGCCGACGCTCTATCCACTGAGCCAAACCGGTTTCGGCCATCCTTATATTTCATAAGTATAATTTCTCAGCAGACTTTTAGAGGACTATAGTCCCATTTGCTTACTTTTTCCTTTGTTTCTCTTGCCCTAAGAGATATTTTGGCAAAAATATTGCCACTAGAGATGTCTGAGATTTTACTGCCTACTTCTTCTGCCAGAATTTTTATGGTTTCATGAGTTACATTTAAGTCTTTTATCCATTTTGAGTTTATTCTTGTGTATGGTGTAAGTTGGTGGTCTAGTTTCATTTTTTTGCTTGTATCCGTCCAATGTTCCCTTTATTGAATAGACTATCTTTACTCCATTCTATGCTCTTGCCTTCTTTGTCAAATATTCATTGACCATAGAGGTATGGGTTGATTTCTGGGCTCTCTGTTCTGTTCCATTGATCTATATGCCTGTTCTTATGCCAGTACCAGGATGTTTTGATTACAGTGGCTTTGCAATATAGTTTGATATCTGGTATTGTGATTCCTCCAATTTTGTTCTTCTTTCTCAAGTTTGATGAGGTTATTCTGGGTCTTTTTGTTGTTGTTGTTCTATATAAATTTTTGGAATTTTTTTCTAGATCTTTGAAATGTGCCATTGGTATTTCAATAGGGATTGCATTGAATCTATAGATTGCTTTGGGTAATATGAACATTTAAATGATTTAATTATTTTAATTAGTGAACATGCTGTATGCTTCCTCTGATTTGTGTCTTCCTCAATTTCTTTCTTTAATGTCCTATAGTTTTCTGAGAAGAGGGCTAATTAATGCTTTTCTCCTTTTTTAAAGTTCCTTGGTGACTTTTCTCCCAATATTTGGATAGAATTTATTTGGTGAAATAATTGATATTAGGATAGCTAACTCCAAATCATACTTTTCTGCTTAGAACTTCAAATTCACAAAAGCTCCCTGGTTAATTTTTAGTATATAGGTAGATTTAAAAGAAATAAACATATTTTATATGACATTTTTATAATAGTTATAATAGTAATATTTATCTTAGATTATTCATACACCTATATTTATGTTCTGTATTATAATCATATAAACATATTTCAGAAAAATTTCAATACAAAAAGCATAAAAATATAAAACACCTTTAAATATAATCCATATATTTCTTAGTCTTTAGCAAATTGTAGATTAAAAGGATATTTTTAATTTTTATTAATTTATAACATACCAAGGATTTTCTTGACCTTTCTGTCTTATTTGCATGTGACAGATTATTTCGGGATTTAGAGAATAGTATAAGGTTTTCATTTATTTACAGATAGTGACAGGTTGATATAAGCAGGACAGAGAGAGGCTTACCTGTATAACCAGGAACATAGAGGCAGTTGTATGCACAGGTTCTGTTAACACAATCTTCTCCATCTAGACAAGGTTTGATTTCACATTCATTCATATCCAGTTCACAGAGAGATCCATGGTACCCAGGTTCACAACTACATAAAAATCTAGAGAAAAGTGGGAAAATGAGAAATAACATGTAATAGCAAGAAATATTCCAATACATACATCATCCTAATATATATACTAAACTTTAGATGTTTGACTTAATTTAAATAAATGGCTATGCTTCCATTTTAATTTTTTTTTTTTAAAGAAAATACAATTTACCATTTTTTGGTTCTCAATCTCCAGAATTCCCCGAATGAAATTTGAAACTGGCCCCTGGGGCAAGAAAAGACTAAAGAAAGGGGCAGTTCAGTCCAGATTGGCATGGTGTCAGGTTTAAGAATCTTTATATCTTGGGCAGCTACAAGAAGACTAGATCTCCACACCCACCCACCAGAATCTTAAAAGTTTATATAGAGGCCTTAAGAGGGTTCAGTCACATGTACAGTGTAGACAGTCTCAATAACACCTTCCTCTATCAAAGCCACTTCTCAATCCTTGAAGTGTCTCCTACTGTGGGAATAGTGTGTGGAACATACGTTACAAGGACAGAGGGGATAATAAGCCTCAGATCACATGGAATCAGCTTGAAGGTCAACTGTCAGTCACATCCTCTCAATAAGTTCTTCCAACAACCTTTTAGAAATGTTCCCCTTAAATATTCTTTATGTGAGATTTTTTTTATGAATGTGCCCGGGTACATAATTAATGAAACTGAAAATTACTATTGAACTTACTTCCACAATTGTAGTAATTTTACTATTATATAAATACTAGAGGCCTGGTGCACGAGATTTGTGCTCACGGGGGATGGGGGTCCCTCAGCCAGGCCTGTGTCCTCTTGCAGTCCGGGAGCTGTTAGTTGGACATCCTTAGTGCTGCCGAGGAGGCGGGAGAGGCTCCCACCACCATACAGGCTTCTGGCTGAGCAGTGCTCCCTCTGTGGGAGCACACAGACCAGCAGGAGGCAGCTTCTGCATCACGTGTCTGCCCCCTGTTGGTCAGTGTGCATCATAGCAACTGGCCATTCCACTGTTCAGTCGATTTGCATATTAGCATTTTATTATATAGGATAAACTTTTAACTATTTTAGGTTTAAAATGGAAGACTATTCTGTCTATGGATTTAATGGTATTTTTATGATATTAACCCCCTCCTCTTTTATTGGCACATGATGGAGAAGTCATGTAATTCAATAATTAGATGTCAGGTTCAAAGTATCACACATTTTTAAAAATTTTTTTTATTGATTTCTGAGAGGAAGGGAGAGATAGAAACATCAATGATGAGAGAAAATAATTGATTGGCTGCCTCCTGCGTGCCTCACACTGGGGAGAGTCCACAACCTGGGCATGTGCCCTGATGGGGTATCAAACACTGACCTCCTGGTTCATCAATCTACCTTCAACCGCTGAGCCATGCCAGCCAAGCTAAGTATCTCACACTTAATAGAGGGAGTGATCTTCAAAAACCTTGTCATTGACCTGAAGCACTGAAGCATGAAACAGACTGACATAGAAAATGGTTTCCAGAAACTTCATCTGAATCACCTTTTAATGTGCACTATTTCGTCCTTATCTTAGTCATTGGCCCTCTGAGGACTCTGAGTTGCTAAGCTCAGATTTGTCCTACAGACTTTTATTTGAAAGAGTTTCTTTGCTCCTATGTGAATTTATTTTTATTGATTCAGATCTTGTCTCAATTTATCTCTGAATTTTTTTCCTCTAGTCTAAGCTGTGGCAGATATATATATAGTAGAATTAACCTGAAATTATTTTCAGTCTATTTCTAGATATTATACTGACTATGTCTTTGTTTCAAGATCTAGTCAGTCTGTATCTATTTGCCAGAAGCTAGAAGATCAATTCTCTTTAGTTGTGTACTGATATATGTAAAATAACATCAGTAAAAGCAGCAACCAATAATTCATGATCAAACCAATAAAATATGTGAAGAAAAAGAAACAGGGATCATTTAAACTCTCTTAACTTCTTGTTTTCATAGAAAAAAATATTAATTAAATTAATTTCCACAGATAACTATACGTTGAGAGAAATGTACACTCAGCAAAACAAGCTCTCCATAGTGATAGGTCTTTCCCCTCTTGTAAAAGTCTAAATAAAAAAGCCTTTACCAAGTTTCCTTGTAATGCTTTTGAGACAGATTTTTATTCCACTTTTCCAAAGGAACTCTTCCTAATTAACTTAAGTATTGACATAATTGTAATTATAATGAAAATGTAACCTACATAAACCTAACATGCCCATGACCCTCTTTTATTCATTCACCATATTGATTGTGTGCCAGACTTTAGTTGGGACTCAGATCCAAGTGTACTAGTAAATAAGGCTTGGACTTGCTTTGGAAAAACTCATAGAGAAGTCAGGGACATCAACTATAAGCATTACAGTAAATATATTCCAATAGAGAAGGTGTGAAGTACTATAAAAACACAAATAATTGCTAGGGAAGATGACAGGAAAGGTTTTACTGCTTAGTCATAAAGAAAGAATGGGATCTTTGTATCATTGGATAGAAAGCATTAAAAATGAATGTGAAAGCCCTAGCTGGTTTGGCTTAGTAGACACAGTGTTGGCCTGGGGACTAAGGGTCCCAGGTTAGATTCTGGTCAATGGCGTGTACCTCACTTGCAGGCTTGATCCCTGGCCCTGGTTGGGTCATGTGCAAAGGCAACTAATTGATGTGTCTCTCTCACCTTGCTATTTCTCTCTCTCCCTTCCATTCTCTCTAAAAACCAATGGAGAAAAAAAGCACTATTGGAGAACCAAGATGGCGGCATAGGCTAACGCAGGAGTTTGCTGCTTTGAACAACTACTTCAAAAGTGAAACCAAAAAGCGGAAGGGACATCACCCAGAACCACAGGAACGCTGGCTGAGTGGAAGTCCTACAACTAGGAGGAAAGAGAAACGCATACGGACACTCAGAGGAGGCGCAGTGCTGAAGTCAAATTCTGAGGTGCGGAGTGCGCGGAGCGGGCTGGCGGCGGAGGGCGCGGTTGGCGTTTTCAATCGGGAGGGAGTCGCAGAATCTGAGCTCCAGATCCCGGTGAGTCTTTAGGGACCCAGACTCAAACGGGAGAAGCGGGACTGTCTGGCTTCGGTCAGAGCGAGTGCAGCTTTCTCTCTGAGCTTTGCAGCGGGTGCTGGGACTCAGAGAGGCAGAGCCCCTGGGGACAGGACTGAGAGCCACCATAACTGCTCTCTCCGGCCCACCCTGTTGATCCTGTTCAACCCACCCCGCCCAAGCCCTGCACACAGGCATTTGCCGGATAGCCTCAGGCAAAGGCTAGATTAGCACCTCCCTAGAGGACAGAAGTTCTCTCACTGCTAACACAGCTGATTCTCATAGCCACTTGGCCTGGAGGTCAAACCCTCCCTGGAATTAGCTACAACAATCAAGATTTAACTATAAGACTGCGAACAAAGACCACTAGGGGGTGCACCAAGGAAGCATAACAAAATGCGGAGACAAAGAAACAGGACAAAATTGTCAATGGAAGATATAGAGTTCAGAACCACACTTTTAAGGTCTCTCAAGAACTGTTTAGAAGCTGCCGATGAACTTATTGAGGTCTACAAGAAAACTAATGAGACCCTCGATCTTATATTGGGGAACCAACTAGAAATTAAGCATACATGGACTGAAATAACGAGTATTATACAGACTCCCGACAGCAGACCAGAGGAGCGCAAGAATCAAGTCAATGATTTGAAATGCGAGGAAGCAAAAAACACCCAACCGGAAAAGCAAAATGAAAAAAGAATTCAAAAATGCGAGGATAGTGTAAGGAGCCTCTGGGACAGCTTCAAGCGTACCAACATCAGAATTATAGGGGTGCCAGAAGATGAGAGAGAGCAAGATATTGAAAACCTATTTGAAGAAATAATGACAGAAAACTTCCCCCACCTGGTGAAAGAAATGGACTTACAGGTCCAAGAAGCGTGGAGAACCCCAAACAAAAGGAATCCAAAGAGGACCACACCAAGACACATCATAATTAAAATGCCAAGAGCAAAAGATAAAGAGAGAATCTTAAAAACAGCAAGAGAAAGAAACTCAGTTACCTACAAGGGAATACCCATACGACTGTCAGCTGATTTCTCAACAGAAACTTTGCAGGCCAGAAGGGAGTGGCAAGAAATATTCAAAGTGATGAATACCAAGAACCTACAACCAAGATTACTTTATCCAGCAAAGCTATCATTCAGAATTGAAGGTCAGATAAAGAGCTTCACAGATAAGGAAAAGCTAAAGGAGTTCATCACCACCAAACCAGGATTATATGAAATGCTGAAAGATATCCTTTAAGAAGAGGAAGAGGAAGAAAAAGGTAAAGATACAAATTATGAACAACAAATATGCATCTATCAACAAGTGAATCTAAGAATCAAGTGAATAAATAATCTGATGAACAGAATGAACTGTTGATTATAATAGAATCAGGGACATAGAAAGGGAATGGACTGACTATTCCTGGGGGGGAAAGGGGTGTGGGAGATGCGGGAAGAGACTGGACAAAAATCGTGCACCTATAGATGAGGACAGTGGGTGGGGAGTGAGGGCGGAGGGTGGGGCGGGAACTGGGAGGAGGGGAGTTATGGGGGGAAAAAAAAGAGGAACAAATGTAATAATCTGAACAATAAAGATTTAATTAAAAAAAAAAGCACTATTTAGAAAATAAAAAACACTGCTAAATACAAAAAAAAAAAAAATAAAAAAAAAATTAAAAACCAATGGAAAAATATCCTCAGGTGAGAATTTTAAAAAAATTGCATGCAAAAGGTCATGCTGTTGTAAAAGAGAATTGTATTTCTCAGGAGCTCACCATGTGACTGGGGAATTGACCATAATTACTTTTTTAGGGTGAAATTAATCCAATGACTGTGACTCCTTGAATTTGTGTTCACATAGCAACATTTTCTCCATTTCCACTATCCCACTATCTAGTGCAAAATAATATAACGAACGCTTTACATACATTACTAAGATCAAGGTATACTTGTTAATGACAGTCTTTCTTTGCTATTGTGTGTTCTT